ATCTATTCATCAAAATCAATCAACCAATATCACTATATGTATGGATTTCAATCAATTTTTTTTTATTTTGTTCATCAATGATAATGATGATCATTTTCAATGACAATTCAGTTTTTATTTCAAATGTTTCGGTTTTTTTTCCAAGAACTATTATCATAATCATCATCATCATTCTGATACAATGATCATATCATGTCTATGATAATAATCATCATTATCATCATCATCATCATCGTGATAACAAAGATAATAAATTGATGAAAATAAAAATAAATGAATGAATGAATCATCATAAAAATAGATGGGATAATGGATAGAATTGTCCAAATCCATGTTTTATTTCATATGTGTGTGTGTGTGTGTGTGTGTGTGTGTGTGTGTGTATTCAAACCAAACCAAAAGATGAATATTAACAATGATTATAATAATTTTTCGTAATTATCATTTATTACTATTTTATCTAATCATGATGACATCAATGTATAGTACAGTGACCTCATGATCAGTGTCAGAGATTGCTATCTTTTTGCAGGTCACACACACACACACACGCACAATAAATAAACCAACAAAACAACATGCCGATACATTTTGATTGATTTATTTTACTTTTTTTTTTGCTCAAAATTCATAATAAAACACGTGGCCAACACACGTACCACCGAATGGTCCATTCATTTATTTTTGCTTTATTGTTATGTTTATCCTTGATGTGTGTGTGTGTGTGTGTGTGTGTTCCATTAGATTTAGCAGACCTTGATAGTTGACCAAATTTTTATTTGCCAGTAACAAAATCGAAAAACCTAGAACATACACACACTAATACACAGTAGACAGATGGTCCTAGAAAGTAGAAAAATTTGGTTTTACACACACACACACACACACAAACACCGTAGGTGTGTTCAATCCATCAAATGCATTCGACATATATCCTTATGATGATGATGATGATGATGATGGCAGATGGTTTTTTCTTGCAAATTTTAAATTTTTAGATTTCACTTTTGTATATGTGTGTGTGTGTGTGTATGTGCAGGATTTTGTGTATGTGGAAAATTTTTCTCTCTCTCTTTTTTCCTTATTGTGTTCATCTAAATTTTTTGTTGTTGTTGTTGTTGTTGTTTGTGGATCCAATAAAAATGAACCAACTAAATGATGATGATCATATAACTGAATAAATAAAAAAATGGCTTCAAATGGAACCAAAAAAAAAAATCTAAAAACAACAGCTGTCAATTTGACAACTAACGGAACAGATCTTCATATCTGATCTGGATGATGATGATGATGATTATTGTCGCCAGTGTAATAAATGTGTGTGTGTTTCTAGTCAAAAAAACAATTGGCTATTTAGTAACGGTCATTTTCAAAATGAACAATTGTCCATCAAAATAAAAAAAAAAACAAAAAACAATCGATCTGATGGACAGATTGATCATCACAGACTTTTATCATCATTATAATGTCATCATTATCATTTGTGGTAGTAACTAGACGATTTCGAAAAAAAAACAAACATGAAAAAATGTTAATTCCGGTCCAGATTGCAAAGAAATGTGTATGTGTGTGTGTTGATTTCATTTTTGGAGAAATTTCAATTTTTTGAAATGTAATTTGATTTTTATTTTGCAAACTAAATCTTTCTGTTATCGTTGTATTATTTACCTTTTTGATCATCATCATCATCATCATCATCAAAAGGATGATCATTAGCATTTATTATATGTAGATGCTGAATTGAAACAGAAAAAAATGGATTGAATCCATCAAAAAAAAAAAAAAAACAAACAAACAAACAAACAAGAGTGAATGGATCAAATGAAAACAAACAAACAAATATAACATCTATAATCGTGTGTTAACAAGATTATTATTTGCCACTCTCAACTTCTCATTATCATCATCATCTTGTTTCAACAACGACACGATCAGCAGAAAATGGACATATTTATATATAATAATGGATTATTATTCTGATTATTGTGCATATGTAAATGATTTCATCGTATCATTATCATCAGAAATGCATTTTATCCGTATACAGAATTTCAAGAATAGTAGCAGTAGTATGGAAATGTAATGTTCATTCATTCATTTATTTTTTTTCTGTCTCATATCTCTTGATTGTTTTGCCTCTCATCTTAGTATTCTTATTATGTGTTGACCAGTGTTTGTTGTTTTTGTTTTATATGAATATTCCTAAACCAGAACCAGAAAAAAATAGACTTTACTTTTATTCTTTTCTTTTCTTTGTACTAAAACAATAATGATATTTTATTTTTAGACTTTTTATTCTGATAATGATTGGTTACTGATTCTTGCTAGGATTATTTCAACATCAAAAACCTTTTTTTTTCTCCAGACAAATGAATCTCTGTGATTATGCACCTGTCCATCATCATCATCAAAACAAAACACAGACAAACACTCATCGCATTATAGAATTTTTGATTACATTTTCTCATCTCGTTTTATTCGTGGTTGCTGTTGTTTCATTTTTTTTGTTCTCCGGTTTTTCCTATTTCTTGTTTTTTTTTGTGAAATCTAGAATGAAAAAAAAAGTTTTTCATCATTTTTTATCATCATGTTGATTAAATATTGATTATTCAATTAAATTTTTTTGTTTGTTCCAACAACAACAACTACAACTACAAGGATGATGGATAACAACAACAACAACAACAAGAAAACGATGGAAAACTCAGTTGTTGTTGTTGTTGTTTGGTTGTTCTTTTTTTTTGCTACTTTAGAATTCTTTCAAATTCTAGGATTTTATTTCTTTTGTTTGTTTGCAATTTTTTTTGTTACAAAATTTTTCTTTTAGTTTTTTTTTAGTTTGAAAGAAATGACTAAAATCTTGGAAATAAAACTGAATTTAAATTCTTCATGTTTTTCATCAATCACAATCACAATCATAATCATTGTCATCGAGTTATGGCTGCCATATATTCAATACAAGATGATTACCGGAATTCTGGACATGCCCGGACCTTACATCGAGTAGTTAGATCCATGTTGAATTAATTATCACTTCAAGTAACAGAAAACAAAAATTCATTGTCCAGAATTGTCATTGAATACACTACAACCGATTATTTATAAATTTCTTTGGTATTATTTAATACCAAAAATTTCATGTAATGAATTTCGTAAACACAAACGGCAATGGTAACATTTGTATCGTTGAAAAATAAAATTATTATTACAAAACATAAGTATGTTTTTCAATGGTCCTTCAAAAAAAAAATGATGATGTTTTTCATTAAACATTTCAGTAATGTTGTGTTCAATACACAATCATCAATTTGATGTATTTGAATTTGTTTGTATTTGTGAAATGATTGAATTCAAACATAGATAGATAGATTCATTCAATCTGTGTGTGTGAAATGGCACAATCTGTGTGTGTGTGTGTGTGTATGTATTTGGGTGCGCAACAATCTTGAATTTTTGTTCATAAATTCAATCGTTTTCTTTATTTGTTTGTTTGAAACTTTTAACGTTCATCATCATCATCATCATCATCAACTGCAAAGATAAGATGCCTCGTCTTATATGAACATGATGATAATAATAATAATAACAATTATAATAATTGAAATTAACTTGGAACTTACTTTTTTTTTGAACCAGTTTTTTTTGTTGTTGTTATTTCTCCACCACCAGTAATATCTTGAAGACGATGATGAAAAAAATTTAATTGCTGCATGGGGACCATTTATTCTTCATCTTTTTTTTTGGCTGATATGATGTTGTTATTTTCGTTAATTAATTTACATCCATCAGATCCATGATGATGATGATGATGATAATAAACGAAACGTGAAAAAAAAATTTTTTGACCAAAATAAACTCAAAGAAAAAGTTTTTTGGCCAGCAAAAAAAAACTTGATGCAATTAAGAAAAATTTTTCAATTAAATTTTCCCAAAATGTGTGCGTGTGTGTGTTTGTGTTTTCTATTGTGCATTAAACACAGATTCAATTCTTGTGTTTTTGTCAAGTTTCACACACGTGTCATTTTGACCTTCTTCTGTCCACCCACGGCACCCTCAACGCTGAAAACAAATGTGTAAATGAATAAATGTGTCACGTTAAAACATAAAACAAAACAGAAAAATTATCATGTCACATATAATGGAATTATTATTTTAAATCATCCGTTCATTTGTGAGTTATGAAACATAAAAATGATAATTTTTTTGTTCTTTTCCGTGACAACCATGAAAAATAATTTGTAATTAACACCTTTTTTTCCCATTTATTTGCTACTGTTGCATTGAAATTTGTGCGTTTTTAACATGAAATTAAATGGCAAAAAATGATGTTTATTTGCTTTGCAAGATTTTCTAGTAAAATCGATAAACAAACACAAACAAAATTCATGAAAAATTTAGCTTTTTTTCATCAGATTTTAATTATATCTGCTTAGGAAAAAAAAGTAAAGTGCCAGTGAAAAAAAATTCTGTGATACCTGCTAGCTATGAAATTGTGTGTTGATGCCACCATATTCACTACCATTGAAAATGATGATGATGATGATGATGATAATGGAAGAAAAAACCTGTCAAATGCAGAAAAGCTTTTCTCTTCTGTGTTCCACACAATATACAATATACATATAGAAGTAGTGAATGAAAAAAAAGAGTGAAAAAAAATTCTTTAATTACAAGAATCCTTTTGAATCCAGATCATCATTTTTTTTGGTTACAATTTTTTTTTGTTCTGTTGTCTGCTTTGTGTGTGTGTGTGTGTGTGTGTGTGTGTGTGTCATCGTTTCAGGGCAAATGACACTTTTGGTTTCATTTTTTTTCACTTTTCTTTTCTCATTTTTGCAATTCAATGAATTTCAACAAAGAAATAAAAAAAATGAAAGAAATTATAATAAGATTTTAATGGTGAAAGAATTTTTTTTTGTTGCTGGAATTTAATTTTCATTTCATTTCAGGTGTTTTTCATTTGTTTTGCTGTATTTATTGAAATTTTTAATGAAAAAAAAATGAAAATGAAAATGAAAAGATTTTCTTTTGGTCAGATCAAATATTTAACTTTTTTTTCTGCTCTTTGTGGTTTATCACATCGCCAGGATAAATCATGCATCGATTGGTTGATTACAATTGTAATTTATTCTTATCGATTCTATCGATTGTTTTGATCTTTTCCATTTTATTCGTTCCTAATAAGATGTTGGTTGGTTATTATTATTCGTCGTTGTTGTTGTTGCCAATGACAATAAATTGAATTTTTTTTTTCCCGTTCATTTCAAATGTCTTTATATTCTTTGTCTTTGACAATTGTTGTTGTTGTTGTTTATTAATATTCCTGCCGAAGAAATAAAAAGAAAAAAAGTAAAATTAACCAAATAATAATAAATTCAAAGTTAATTAAGACTGTAGGGTTGCCAACACACGAAATATTACCTTAAATCACCCTGAAGAAATGAAATGTTTCATAGAAAACGAACAAAACCAGAAAAAAAAACAATCGATCAAGGTATAGTCTGAATAAAAATTCCAAGAAATACTAAACAATTTCTAAACATCATTTCATTGGTTTATTTTATCTCTGTTATAAAAAAAAAAAAAATTCTTGATGATAACATCGACATTTTCAATCGAAAATTCTGAATACATACAAAATGTTCATCATCATCATCATTATCATCCATGATGATGATTTGTAGTACACAAATATGCTCGCGGGCATCATTCATGTCAAAGACATACACATTCATTCATTCATTCGATTCTTTTGCAATGAAAACAGGAAAAAAAACTTTTTTTTCACAACCATATCTTAACCGATGATGATGACGATGATCATCATCAATCGAAAATGTTGTTTAAAAAAAACCGCAAAAATGAAACAATTTCCACCAATATCGAAAAAATCGGGTTATTTTTCATTTTCTGGATGAAAAAAAAAAATTTATTCTTTGTGAACAAAAGTACAATGATGATACATCATCAATTTTATTCAAACAACCAAATAAAGATGATGATAATGATAATATCTTTATCTGATCATATCTGTTGTTGTTCGGATGTCATTGTCAATGTTGTTGTTGTTGTTGTTGTTTCAAAACATAAAATGGCGAGAAAAAAACCAATGCCACCGCAAAAAAAAACATACGACAAGCAATATCACATTTCATCTGCTATAAATCATTATATATTGTAGCTGATACCAGTATAATATATTCCATCAAGTAATATTAACCACTTCCACCATTCATTCTAGTAGCCATCGTCTCCTTCTTAAAAAAAAAAAAACTAATGTTTTCTCCAACGCTAAGGCTAAGGTGATATGTGATTCAGTGTTGATATACTGAAAATTATTGTTTGTTTGGCCATTTGTTTTTCGTTGTTTGTGGTTGTCATGACATTGTCGCTTTCATGTTTATTTTTTCTTGTGTTTTGATATATAAAGAAATTAGGGTTGTCAGATCGGCCAAGAGGATGAGGGGGTAAAATTTTTTTTTTTTTTTAGAAAGCTCGCTTGATAATACAGTTTTACATCGGTTAAATTTTTTTTTTTGTTAGGTAAGAAAGTTCCTCCCTGGGTATGTGGTTACATAAATAATATGCAATATTAAATATGTGTGTGTGCTATATGGATTGATGATTAAATGATGATGACGACAAGAGAAAAAACATTGTCTGAAGGACAATGTTTTTTACTCTCAATGGCCATTTATTAACCATTAACATCATCATCATCATCATAACCATGGACATTATTCATTTTCTTGGAATATTTTCTTGTTTATATTATCCGGCTACTGGTTAACAGCTTCATAAAAAAAATGAGATAAATTCTCTGAAATGTTTTTTTTCCCAGAAAGATTTCTCTACATTCATTTATTACATATATGCCGATACAAACCAAATATATGTGACCATAAACCAAATTCATTAATTTGTATATACAGAATATGATATGGTTTCATTCTGTATTGTTGACGTTGTTGTTCATGATCAATTGTCGGCTATTCTATTTATATTTAGATGAAAATAATAGAAGAAAAATTGAATTATTTTTACGACAGAATTTAGTTTGATGTGTGTGTGTGTGTGTTTTCTTGTTCAAGATAATAATCGTTATTCTTCATCCTTAATTAATTTTATCTAAGATGTAATTGTTTGATGTTGATTATTCAACATCATGATCATGTGCCCGATGGGCATTTTTAGGTATAATAATTGTAATGAAATTTTAGTGAAAAGAAAATTTTGATGTGAGATGACATACACACACACACACACACACACTTGTAATGAATGTTCTCATTGAATAATGTGATGAAAAAGAAAGTTTCAGAAACTTTATTCTGGGAAAATAAAATTCTTTTTATTCTGAAAAATAAAAACAATGTTAATCGATAATTAGTTGAAATTAAATTTGTAATATACAAAAATCTAATGTCATCCCCACACACACACGAACGCAAAGGTAATTATCACAAAAAAAATCGATCGATTAGATTTTTTTTTCAGCATTGATAATTGATACTTTAAAAGCTTTTATTTTTCTGATCACTATTGTCATGTGCTTGACCCGGATGAATCCATCTATCGATCAATCGATTGATTGAGTGATTTTTTTTCGTCTTAATATTATATAATGGTCACTGTGTTATTGATTATTTTTTTTGATGAACCGATCATCGTAGGCGGCTTGCCGATAATCATAATAATAACTAATGGAAAAAATCAATGGACAAGATAATTAAATTTTTCGTTTCGTTTCTTTTCGTTCCCAATGAATTCAATTTCCAATTGAAAGAAAATCAATAAAATGAGATTTAATTCATTTTTTGGTTCATTGATTACATTTTGATTTCATTCTGATTTTTAATATTCATCTACAAATGATGAAAAATAATAGCCAGGTATTATAAACTACAACCAACATGGCCACCGACCATTTTTTCACACTTTTCATTTTTATATATTTCATGTGATTTTATTTACAAACAATAACAATATTGGCAACGATAACCATAAAAAAAACTGTCAAAATTCCTGGAAAATTTCTTACTGTTATACCTGGTTCTGTGTGTTCGGATGATGATGATGATGAAAAAAAACCTAAACCATTATTCTGTCAACCAATTTGCACAATGTATAAAGCGTAGACACATACAACAAAAAAAACCTATAGATCATTGTATATAATATTGGATGTTCGATGAATGTTTTTTTTTTCTTTACCACATTCATTGTTGGTTGGTAAAAATGGTGGTTAAATTTACCAACATCCCTGAAACCATTATTATCATCATCATCAACAGCAGAATTGTGGCTACCCATTTTTTTTTTTTTTTTTTGAAAGCACATAATAAATCTTTATGTCGTAATAAGCGACGTTTTTTTTTCTCTCTCTCTCTCTTTCTGTGTGTTACAAATATAAAGTCTTTTCGGGCCTTGTGAATTGGTAGCCACTTCGACGACTGTCTTCGATGCCGAATCTGATCATCGAATTTTTTTTTCTCGTTGTTTTGGGTAAAAGTTTTGGTTTTTTTCTTTTTTGCTCTATCAATTCTCACCGCAAACAGATATACACACACACACTAGTGGAAAAAAACTAAAATTGCCACAAACCATAAGCATAAATACGGCATCGACAAAAAACGACGACGACAACGACAACTACGACAGCTTCTACACAATAAAAAGTGATTATGATTCATATCCACGAAAATAAAAAAAAAATACCAAACTAAACCAAACAAAAAAAAAACGGTAAAAAATATATAAACACCATTCGTATACGCTATCATCATCATCATCATCTGTATTTTGTATGTATATATTTATTATATGGAACATGACGACACCCGAAATTAATGGCACCTGGCTATAGTGAAAAAAAAGAAAAAAATTCTCGGGTTCTCCAAACACACACACACACACAAACATTTTGTCATTCAACAACAACAACAACAACAAAAACCCTCATATTATTACTTTGATTTTGTTTCAGGCGACATTTTCGGTTGGGCGGTTTTTTCTCTCTCTCTCACTGTTGTCATCACCCACTCAAAATGAATGTTTTTATTCTTTTTTTTTTCATTTTTCATCTCTTGTCATCATCATCATCATCAACATTGTTGGTCGGTTTGGTCCATCAGTGTTAATACGATGATGGTATATATCGATATAGAGAAAGGAATGAAAAAAAATGTTCCAAAATTCAAAAATTTGTAGTTGTTTGAATTTTTTTTTGAACGATTCTGTTGATGTTGTTTTTGTTGTTATTGTCGTTAATGTTGTTGCTGTTTGTCTGAATCTTTTTTTTTTTTTTTGGTTCTTTTGTAAACAAAATTCATTGGTTAACATATTTTTTCGTGTAAAAAATAATGATGACGATGATGATGATGTTAATGAACGATAATTTATTCTGGTTTTTTTTTCTTTGTCAATCAATGTATTCGCCATTCATCCTTTTAATTAGTAGCAATTTTTTTGAGGAAAAAAATTGCAAATTCAAACCTATCAAAGTGTTAATAATTTAATTATCGTTCTGTTGTTGTTTATTACGCCAACAACTACATACAGCTTAGATTCATTCATATCGAATCAGGATAATCTTCTTCAATTCTCGAAAGAATCCTGATACAGCAATGTATTGAAGGAAAGAAACAAAACAAAAAAACAAAACAAAAAATTTGAATATTCCATAATGAAAAAATGAATAAATAAATTCAATGGCTCGCTTTCCATCATCATGTAGTGTTTTTTGAATGAATGAGAGAAAAAAAATTTTTGCACGTATCAATTATTCAAAATGATTCTTTGAAATTCATATCCATCCATTATACATACATATGAAAAATGTATTTTATCATGAATGATGAACACGAATGGATGGATGAACGAGAAAATTTTTTTTTTCAATTATTTATTTCAATTTTTTTTATGATGATTCTTTCTCGTTAAAATGCGTGGTGTATGGCTGTTTACTGTCGGTAATTTTTCCATATACACACACATCACATTTGGTGTGTAGAATTTTTTGTTGTTGTTGTTGCTAGGATAATTCAATGGTCTGTGTGTGTGTGGTTTTTGTGTCATTCTTGAATTACACAATCGCATACACTGGCACAAACACACACACACACACATAACAATAATCATAGAATGAGAAAATAGAATATTTTTTTTCGGTAATTTTCTCGCAAAACAAAACTCAAATTTCTTACATCATGTGTGTGTGTGTGTGTGTGGCCTATTTTAATCAATTGAATTTGCCAATTTTTTTCTGGTACTGTAAAAAAATGTACCATCCTCATTATCATCATCAAAACAATTTGATCCAAATCTCGTTATTTTTTCTCGTTTGTCCATGATAATGATGATTATGGTCTTCTCTCTCTCTCTTTCTGTTTATGTGTGTGTGTGTGTGTGTGCGTATAATACAAATCTCTTCAATTTGCGACTTTGCTGTGTTTTACTTTTAACGAAAAAAAAATCATTTTTCAAACACGAAAGTGAAAAGCCATTCATCCGAATACACTCCTACAAAAATACACACAAACATACACGCAAAAAACATTCTGTAAAATATCCAAAAAGAAAAAATCAGAAATCCAGAATCAAAAAAAAAATCCAAATATGACCTATGTATATATCTAGATGTATGGCTACCATCAGACACACACAATTGCTATTGCATTTGATTGAATAAATCTTTGATTGTATAGAAAATTTTTTTTTTCACCGTTATTTATTTTCTATATTGGATGAATTCACTTGAGATTTGTAAGTGGGTGTGTACAACAGATCACGAATCAA